TAAACCCTTTAAAGGTTCCAGTCTGTTCCCATAGAAGTGAGAGAAAGGGACAAAACCAATCAAAAAGGATTCCAATAGGAACTTTCGAAAAATCACCCAATTTTGACAAAAAATCAAAAAAATTGGAAAAAGTAATCAAGAATGACCAAACATCAAAAGGAGATTACAGGGTGGATACCTATTAAATTTCGAGCATACTGATAATTTTTTTTTTTTTTTTTTGCTACAGTAGACGTACTGTGATATCCCTGTTCCGCTATATGTTAATTAGTTTTTAATATGAGCATGATTATGTGTTTAATATGATCTTGTGTGCCATTATGTGAAAATATGTGATTTTGAATTTTTATCTGTTCACCGTAGGAATATCTGTTCGATTATCTGTTTTGGAAATTAAATTGAAGGTCTTATCGGCCACAGAACCCGAAATTGACTATACCACTGTGATTAGCGTAATTTTTAGAGCCTACGGTGAAGTTTAATTGAAAATTGATTCGGATCGGATTAAATTGATTTAATTAGTGGTGTTATGCTCAAATTATTTAATATTAAAAATTTGGGACTAGTAGAGACTTATGTAGAAAGGGCACTATGCACTTAATCCATATACTTGAGTTCAAAAATCTGATATTGTGCTCTAAAGAGAGGGGGAAGCCGAACCTAGAGAGGGGAAGGAGCTCAAATTAGAGATTTTGCTAGGAAACTTGGTGATCTTGGAGCTACACTCAAGAATCAACCATAATTTGTGAGAAGTAAGGCTCCTAGGTGAGTGACACACCCTTGATTCATGGATTTTGTTTGTAAATTGTAAATTCAAAGTTGAATGATGAGAAAGAGCATGGATTGAGTTAGTCTTGGTGAATTTAAAGTCAATAGATGCATGCATGTATGTAATTACTTTGAAATTGCATGTTTGAGCACCAAATGTATGATCCATGTTAGTTTTTAGTTGAAATCCATGTTTTTAACCATCTCTTCATCATATGAGTTGAGAATGAGGGTTATGTGTCACATGCATGTACAATCCATGGGTGCAGAAGTTTGAATGTTTGAATTTATCATGTTGGACATGAGTTTGATGTAAGATTGGAACATGCATGTGATTAATTTGTGAAATTGGGCTTCTTGATGTTGTAATTTGGTGTTTATACCATGTTAGTACATATATATATGAAGTTTGAGCCAAAATCATGCATTTAGAGCCTTTGAATGTCGAATTGGAGCTCAAGAATGTGTTCTGAAAAACTCAGAATTTTTGATGTCCGCTCGAGCGGGGAAAGTGCCGCTCGAGCGGGAAATTCGTGCTCCCAGTACTTTTGCAGACATGGATGTCCGCTCGAGCGGGGAAGTTCACGCTCGAGTGGGAAGCCATGTAGAGAGGCCTTCCGCTCGAGCGCCAGAATGCACGCTCGAGCGCCAGAATGAACGCTCGAGCGTAAATTTGATATAACCAGTACTTTTGCAGGCCTTAAGGGTCTGCTCGAGTGGGGAAGTCCACGCTCGAGCGGGGACCCTGTTTTATGAAATTTTGGAAATGCATTCTGTGTTCTGTTTTCCGTTTCCTTTTCACTTCTAAGTACTCTTAGCCATGCATTAAGGATTGTAATTGAGTTAAAGAGATAAGAATGAAGCCTAAAGAGGAATATGTGAATTAAAGAACGGATTGAATTATTTGTGACCATAGTTGTCAAATCGGGATTCGTATCGTGAATCGAAATGGCCTTGTACTGAATCGCGAATTGAATCGAATCGAATCGTGAATCGTAAAGATTCAGTCACTTTTTTTAAATTACTTAAAAACATATATCTACACATTTAGATGTTAAATATATCTTATGAATATAAAATATTTAGACTTAAATCAACAAAAATGTTATTTTGAATAATAATCACCTAATTTAATAGGTATGAAGTTGACAAAGGTTCCTATGTAAAATCACCATCTTACCTTTTTTTTTTTAGATATTTTTTATCAATCATTCTTAATAAAGATAATAACCAAATAGACAAACTATTAATTTCTAAAGTAACAATAGTTAACAACGATATTGATATTTGGATAATCAGCATATATACTTTTCTAAGTAAAAGTGAGCAAATAATAAGAAAGAATTATTTAGGATATTTTATTTTAAAGCCTAAAACATTTTAAAAGGTATAACTGACCTCACACATGTAATATTCAATTTAATAAAATAGTAATAGATAATTCATAGCGTAACTTTAATCTTAAACATCTTTAGAAGATATATTACAATTTTTTGAAAGGGAAAAAAATGAGAAGAAAGGTTAAAAATATGTTAGGTCTGACTGAATCTGATTGGATTCTATAAAAAAACTCCATGATCACTAAAATAACAACAAATCATATATATATGTTGGTTATTTTGGTATTAAACGCTATTAGAAGTTGTATTATGTTATTTTCACTAAAAAGATGGAAAAAATGAGTCGAAAATATGTTGAACACAATAATTTCAAAACTTGTATAAATCGTAAAAAGTGAATCGAATCGTGAATCGATTGTGAATCATTCACTAGAGATTCACTTTCAAAATAGATTCACTCATAGATTCGTATCGATTTTGCAAAAATTGCGTATCGAATCGAGAATCGTAAGATTCTGATAATAGAGTTTGTGACCCATATGCGTTATGTGATGTATAGGGTCAAGCTCCAGGGCAAATCCACAAGTCGATCACTGTGAGTAATATCTTAACAAGATATTTGAAATATAGTGTTGTCCAATTATTTATTTATATGTAAGTTTTGTAAGTTCATTAATTTGAACGGTAGACAACGATTGATATGAATGATTGGGCCGAAGGCCGATTGATACGAATGATTGGACCGAAGGCCGATTGACATGAATGATTGGGCCGAAGGCCGATTGATACGAATGATTGGGCCGAAGGCCGATTGACATGAATGGTTAGGCCGAAGGCCGATTGACATGAATAATTGGGCTGAAGGCCGGTTGACATGAGATATAAATGATTGGGCCAAAGGCCGATAAATATAAATGATTGGGCCAAGGCCGTTTGCTGTAACTGTTTCAATGACTGCTTATGTATCTTCCTCATTTGATATTATTCACTGGGCATTCGCTCATGCTCATTCATGTACATGTAAGTGAGCCAAGGGACGTCCAAAACCAGCCTCGGTGAAATTGTGAGAAACAGTTGAAGTTTTGAGGAGTCAACCCAAACGTCTCACGCACGAGACTGTCTCCGCTTTTGTCCTTGTTCATAGTTTTTGTTATGTTGGCGAAAGCATTGGACTACTTTTGTATATAAGTCTTGGGTTCGACTGACTTAAACTTGTATGATCCTGTATGCACAATGTTCCGTGTTAGTGTATATTTTGATGTGAGTTATTAACACATAAATGTTTAGAATGTGATGGTGTGCATATAGCACAACTCTATGAACGAAGTTTTAAATTTGCTTCCGTTTGGCCCCTTTACTTTGATGAGTTTTGTTTTAAGTGGTTTGAGGCCGTAGGTAATCTCACGATTACTGGCCGGTTATGGCCTTAACCCATAGGGGCGGGTTCGGGTCATGACACGTACTTACCTACAAGAACAAGGAGAGAAGAATGAGAGGAATGATCTTCAAGGAGGAAGATATTGCTCTGATTCCATGTTGAATGTATAGATGAAGAAGAAGAAGAAGAAGAACGAGAGAGAGAAAGCTGCTGTATATTCCTTAATTCAAAAGCATAGGGTTTCCCCCTTACACACAACTATTTATACTAATAAGAATAATAGATAAAGACCAAACTACCCCTAACACTTAATAGTTTCCTCCTTGCATCAAAAGTTCGAAGTGAACCAAACTTCCTGAAATCCCACAAAATCTTGTCATCTTTGTCAAAGAAAGTTGGTTGATATTTCAGTCGTAATGTCCGTAAGGATAGAACTTTTTGAAATGTGTTATTAAAACTATCTGCAGGCCGACAACCAATCTTACATGATGAACTGTTTTATTGGATATATTAATTGAACTGTTTAACTCCATCATTTGACATTCATCCTTCATAACTGATTGGGCAAGATCATGCATCTTGCTCCATATCTTGCCTTCATCTTTCTCCACGTCTCGGAAAAAAGAAATCCAACATATTTCATTCCAAATCTGATCACCAATATCTTCCAGCTCTTGTCCTCCTTTGCATGAAATATAGCCATTAGCCATCCAAAGATGGATTAAATCTTCCTTGTCAATGCTAGAACCCTTTGCGAAAATGGCACAATAAGCAAAACAGTGTCTTGATTCTAATGGAAGATTAAAGTAACTTAATCTTAAGACAGGCAAGATGGAATTTTGTCCTGGGGTAAGTTCCAAATTTCACTTTCCAGAACATAAAGCCACTCCTTTTCCTCACTTTTGAAGCGCATTAACCCTCTGAGGGACTTTGCTGCTAAAGGCACACCGCCTCACTTCTTCACTATCTCCTTCCCGATGGACACAAGGTTTGGAAATTCTTCAGTTCCACGTGCAAATGCTCGTTGCTTGAACAACAACCAACAATCTTCGTCAGATAAAAATGACAAGTGATGTGGTAGGATAGTTCCCATGATTGATGCAACCTTTTCAAGACGAGTAGTGATGATAACAGAAGTGCCTTTTGATCCACATGCTAGTGAATACTTGAGAGCATCCCACTTCTCTGGATCTTCATCCCACACATGATCTAATACAATCAGGTATCCTTTTCCTTTCAGCATGTCATGACACCTTCTCTGCAGTGAGTCTAGGTCTACAGCCTTGCATCTTTTTCCATTTGCAGATTCTATTGTTGCTTTGATCATCCTGTTCATATCGAAATCTTGAGAAACATAAACCCAAATTTTAGGATCGAAGTGGTGTTTGACCCTCTCATCATTGAAGGCCATTTGCGCAAGGGCTATCTTTCCAAGCCCTCCTATGCGAAGTATAGGATACACAAACATCGTCACTATTGCATACATCCTTGACCAGAAAGTTGACAATCTTCTATTAATCTTCGTCTCTTTCATAGAGTTGTGGTTGAGTTATAGAGGAGCTGGTTTCACGGCTTACATCATATTCAACTTGCTTCTCGTTCAAGTGAAATTTACTACGATTAGCAGAAATCGCATCAAACTTGTCTGTAATTTCTTTTATTTTATTCCCTACATTGTAACGAAACAGAATATTGGGAGAGGCATAAGTAGTTGGCAAATAAGAGAGTACCTTCCTCTTAAGAGAAGCAGAGGGGGATCCTTGGCCTTCAGATTCGCATCGGAGTGCTTCGGTTGCACACTCATCCAAGATGTCGTCTGCCTCATAGGCTGCGTCGTTGAGTTCTTTCGACCAAGTGTGTATGGCTTTGTCTTGCAGTTGTTTTTGCTCTGCATCTTCGAGGACAGCATGGATGGTGGAGAGAGCACTTGAAAGCTTTTTCATCTACTTGTTAACACCCCAAAGCAAGGCCACTTTATTTTGGAGCAAGGAGTTAAGATTTTCAATCACAGGGGGAAGCCGAAACGGGATAGCCATGGTGACTTGCTAGCTAGCTATCTGTATTCAAAGGTAAGCTCTCAAAATTGCAAATGCTTTTTTGCCAAACTGAATGATAAATGATATAAAAAATAAAGGTTTCCATAAACCGCCGTAGACTTTAGAAAAATAACTTAATTCATTTCATTAACTGCCTAGTTAGGACCTTACCATACTCATATGTCATATACTACATCATATTACAAGTCTTCCTTATTGATAACGAATTCACAATGACCCAGTCCATTTGGATTGGAGAGGTGCTATTTGGCTGGTGAGGTTGGTTACGGGTCTCGTTTTGATAATTTGAAACGTTCATTTTGTAAAATATTTCGTGTATATTATCTATACAAAATGTAAGAAATAGATGTATTATTGATTGATATATTTTGTGTTTACAATGAGTCCTATATATAGAAGATTTAAAGGAGGTAGGTATGTAGTAGGTGGAGTAGTAGGTGGAGTAGGTGAAGTGGGTGGAGTAGGTGTAGTGGTAGGTTTTGGTACATTTTAACACAAAAAATTAGATCGATTTGATAATCATAACTTATTCAATTTATTGTGTTTATCATTAAAAAAAAAATAGATGATTTATTTTTTAAAACACACTTATCGGGCTTTTTTTTAGAAGATAAATGCAATAAATTGAATAATATGCTATAATTATCGGATCAACTTATTTTTTTCATAAATAATATACACAAAATGTGTGACGCCCCTAATTTTGGGAACATCGGTAATATAATACAACAATACACCAGGGTTTAACTAGCGGATGCACAACATTATACAAATAATTAAGCACGAAATATAAATAATTACACGAAAAGAAAATAATAATAATAGTTACAGATAAAATTTTCAAGTTATTAAATACAGATCAATTTCTTGATACAAAAAGATTATCCAAAATACATGAAATATAAAATCTAATCTCTAGGGCAGGCATGGTTCCTCAAAGCTTTTAGGGATTTTGTTCTTGGTGTAAAACTCGCCTTCACCTGGCATAAAACGCCATGAGCTTGGAATGCCTGGTAAACACACACACCTCGTCCATTTTTCCATTCCAAATACACAAGTAAAATAATGGCATGATCATAACATACAACAAAAACAATAATTAAGCTAAGCTTATAATTAAATTTCGATTCTCAAGAATAACAGTCAATTAAGTTAGTTCTAGGCAACTCCCCGCGAAATGCCATTCCTACCCAACCACTAATACTGACCATGGGCAATTCTGACTCCCTCTTGGTTAATATAATACTAATGCGTTGCTTACCGCATAACCACCAGTGCGTCACTTAACACACAATTACCAATGATGCCCACACACCTAGGTTACATACCCAAGTGATGACATCACGGTCTGTCCCAAGGGAATAGGCTTCCAGGAATGCTCTCCCTGTGTGAGACCCTCATTGTCACCCTTATGCCTCTTAATTCCGTTAAAACAACCAAAATATCTCCCGTGCCATGTTAGGATTCGAGAACACAATTGCGCAAGACTTCACAAAAATGGAACACATTCCACTGTATTTTACTTTTGCATCCATCATTCATTATCCCATAAAATTTACTACAATGATTGCAACCCATTACCACCCCATTTGGTTTCCCATTTATTAAGTGCATTATGTTCTTGGTTATAGTAAAGCATGGTCAAGATAGTTACGAATCCAACCTAAACATAAAGTAATTTATGCATGGTAAAATAAATTCATAATTTATCGTAGTTTACATATCAAAACTTAAACATTCAAGGAACATAGCATATAAGAGTTGCAAGGCAATTAAGAGCACATTTACACAAATTTTCAGAATTTCAGATTTGAACTAGTTGGAAAATAGTTATGGAAAAAATACTTTTATCGGTCTTAAGTACTTGGCCTCATGTGAGTTTGTAGATAAATGACTCTAGTTTCAAACTCAATTTACAAAAGTAGGATAGGTATTTTAGATTTTAAGATAATTCAGAATTATCAAGACTATCCAAATTCGTTGACTGTTACACAAATCGATTTTTCTCTCAAACGTCTCACTCTCTTGAGTTGAAACAAATTTTAGTTGGAATATAACACCAAGATTAAGATTTTGACATAAAAGTGGACTCACGACTATTTTTCTGGAATTTTCTAAAAATAGAGAAAGTTGACTGTTTTTCTAATTCTGTGAGTAACAAACTTAGAAAAATTGTTTAGGTTATAAAAATACATCCTTAGGTCCTACAAAAATTATCACATACTCTAGACATACCAAATATTATCCCATAAAAACAGATTTTGAGTTTATAGAGTTTTGATAGGAAAATAAATTCAAGAAAGGGAAAAGAATTGTTGCTGGAAATTTAAGAAATAAAGAGGAGCACACTATTTCTTGATTAATACACATTTATACAAGAGTGTAGGCCTAAACTACAACATATATATACAAATAGCATATATTAAGAGGGGAAAAACAAGTAGTAAAAGAACTTGAGAGAAGAGGTGATGTAGGTTTAATTTTGTTGTACAAGATTGAACACAATTCTTCTTTTTCTTCTTCTCTCCTCTCCCTCTCTTTTTTTTGTCCAAGATCACTCTCTCTCACTCCTCTAGTGCATGGCTGAAAAATGTGTAAAATGAGGGGGAGAAGTATGCATATATCTAGAGAAATGATTGGAAGGTTTCTTAGGGACTAAGTTCCATAAGTAGAATTTGTCAAAGTTGTCCATCAAAGCCTTTCATCCATCACAAGGGCAACTACTTGGGCTCCAAGAAAAAAAAATATATATATATATAGGAGATATTTGTATTTTTAAACATAAAATAATAGGCACAAGTATATTAATTAATAAAATATTACAGTTAAGGTTTGGCATGAAATAAAATAGAAGTATATAGGGATCAAGTCTAAATTTAGGAAACCTTGATATTTATTATTATATATTAATATTAGAAAATAGTTAAAATAATGACTTCGGATCCCGTTAAATTAAAGTGCAAAGAAAGGTGAGAAACTGAGTGAAAACGGTGTTATCGGCAATTAAGATTTTAAAGTAATTAATCTATAATTGCAGGGTCTAATAATTAATTCTAGGGTGTTAAAGGTGATTATTAATCTACCGGGATCGATTAGGGTTTACTCGCATTAATCCGCGATGCTTCCCGATTCTAGGGTTTAAAACGCAATTAAGTGAAAATTCAAGAGTCGTTATTAAAAGAAACTCAAGGTTAGGGATTTAAAGGTAATTACAAAAATTAGTGTCTCTACAAAATGACCGATAAAATAAAGGGATATTTAGTCTGACATCTCTCTCCAACTTTTAGTAATGCTAGAGGTCCACAATATTTTTTTTTTTGTAACCTAAGGTTCCTCACCCGCATCCATATATCACACCACTTTATCATTCTCTCCTCTATCTTTGTCTTCTCTCCAAATCTGGAGCCGTCAACGAAGCAGCACTGTAGGGGCGGCGGCGCGTGGTGGATGTCCTCATCATTGCCTCCACTCCGCTCTCTCTTTTCTCTCCTTGGTCTTTTGTGTAGGTAGAGGGCCATGGAAAAGGAATACTCAGTTAAACTTAGAGGAAAGGTTGTTGAGGCGAGAGATGCATTGGTGAACGGCAGCGAATGACAAAGAGCGAATCGAAAACACCACCACCACCACTTACTCCGATTGATTTCAGTTTCTTCAAGGTAAAAATATGAGCTTTGTTCACTGATTCAATGGTGTGTTTGTTGATTTAAGATTTCAAAATGTATAACAATTTGAAGAATTTATGTTGATGTATTGGCATTAGCATTTCTTTGTTCGAGTAGGTAGAAGGAGCTTCTAAGATTGAAGAAACTTTACCTCAACAACCACAAGATGACTTGAAACCCTAACCCAGCAAAAGCACCCCCCTCTCTTCTATACCTTTTTTTTTTTTTTTTTTTTTTTTTTTTTTTTTTTTTTTTTGTAAATATGTTCCATTTTCTCTGGTTTGGTCAAAACACAGAGACAGAGAAAATTGTGAGTAAATCAGAGAAATTTCAAACTAGAGAAGATTGGTCAAAAAATAGAGAAATTTGTGAGCAAAATTTCAACCCAGAGAAAATTGGCCAACACACACAAATTTATGAGCAAACTAGAGAAATTTTAATCCAAAGAAATTTCAAAACACAGAGAAAATCAACAAATCAGAAAAATTTCAAAAAACAAATAAATTTATTTGAAATTTCTCTGTGTTTTGAAGTTTCTCTGGATCAAAATTTCTCTAGAAAAATGTTGAGAGACCTCAATCACTATGAAAATATTACATGTCATTTATCATGTAAAATCTTAATATTAGGGACCTTAAACAAAATTCCCCTACAATAAATCGTTTAAATTATCAAAATGAGACACATAGTGAGCTTTATAAGTTCAGACGATACTCTCCAATCCAAGACCTGTACTGAGAGGAGATCTAATTGATGAAGTACATACAACGACCACATGGATGAGCGGTAGGGTAGTGGCTAATTGAGGGTTTCGAGGAAACTGCATGAGCTCCTTCATCTTCATTTTCCACTACTTGCCCCTAGTTGACCTAAATAAAATGTTAAATTCGAAGATATAAAAATGAGATAAATGAAAGAAAGAAGGGTAAATTATAGTAATCTTCTCTCTTTTTTTTTTCTTCTGAAATTACACTGACCTCACCTGTAACTAACGATATTAATGAGAGGATTAGTTTAATAATTTTAAGTTAAAGATATTTTTGTTGATAACCATTAAATATGGGATTATTATTTTGGTAATATCTCATATGGTATTTGGTCTTGACTCATTTTTTTTATTATGACATTTGTAGTAATTAAACATCACAAATGTTATAACTTGTATATGGTATAAATAAAATGGAATGTGTTCTTGAATAACTAATTATTATGACAAAAGTGATGATGAAATAAATAAAAAAAAATAATTATATAACTGTGAGATAAGTTATTTGGTAAATGGGTTTTAGTCCAAAGTCTAAAGAATCCAACCATTCGTAACTTGACATATTGGGTTTCACTCCATAGGTTAAAGAATCCAACTATGCTTGAGCATAATTCAAAGATTAAATGATTGGCCCAGCTATTGATGTATTCTGTTAGGTTGTGTTTAGATCCAAAAATAATTTGGGGAAATGCAAATGAAATATAGTTAGTTATATTTCACTTACTTTTTTCTTTTCTCAATTTCTATTCAAATATATGATCCAAACACAAGTATGATGCTTAAGTTCAAATTGTCAACTGATCATAAAGTAAAACCTGGCACGGTGGGCATCACTCCACGCAAATGGTTAAAGAATCCAATTAGGAGCATATTTAATAAATAAGAATTATTATTATTGTTAAAAATTATTCCCATTCCATTCATTAAATGTATATAAAATCAAGGCAGAATTTTTTTTTCATTAAATTGAGAATTTATCAAATCCTGAATTCATCAAATACTTCGTCAAACTAGAATATAATGAAAATTAAAAAAATGATGCATGGAGATGATTTTTTTGTTTCCCATCAAATTTGATGAAAAGAGAAATCTGAGATAAGAGAGAATTTTTTAAAATCTTTTTTGATTAAAGGATTGGAACTGTTCTTATCAAATCAATTTTTTTACTCAAATTTATAATTAAATTAGATGAAAATATATTAATAAAGGATTTTAAATGCTCTTATAAGTAGAAGTGACATTAAATTAAAAGAACTAGTAGAAAAATGTCCCGTGCATTGCTTTAACTTTTCTTCCTTTAGTTAATTGATATGAACAGATAGTTGGAATCGTTAGAGCATCTTTAATTGTTAGAGCATCTCTCTCTCTCTCTCTAGGTTTAGCCTAATGCCTAAAACCGTCACTTTTCTATATATTCCTTGGTAACAACTACTCTTCTTGTGTACCAATTTTCAATTTATGTGATTGGTTTACACATTGAATCTGTGTTCAATCTTCTCATTCTACTTATAGAAGTTCACTTCCAATGGGTCAATGCACATGGATTAATTGGTCTTCTGACCTTTCACACTTTTCTATATTGTTACTTACGACTACTTAAGTTGAGTGTTCTTTCACAATTTATTGTATGCTTACAGCAATCACTGTCTAATAAGAGAGGGAAAGAAAAGTTCTGTTTGTTATTTAATTTCTAAAGGCTTGGGTGAATTAATTGGCGATGTTTATTGATGTTGATTTTCCATGGTGCATTGGAAGCTATCTGAATATTTTTAATGAGATGTCAAACTTTCATGATTGATTTTATAGCAAAAAATGCTAGATTTATTATGGAGTATATTTTTATTATTTAGTGAAAACTTATGTATCTCTGCAGACCACTGGAAAATGAAAGGATGCGGGATGAATTGGAGAAAGCTGTAAATATCATATGGAACTGTCGGCTACCATCACCAAGAGTAAGTAAAGCCATTTACTTATTTTTTATTATCCTCATCCCACCTTTTAACATTTATTTTATTTTCAACTACCAAACAGTGTGTTGCAATAGATGCTGTTGTTGAGCTTGATTTGGTCTATGCTCTACAAGTGTCCGTCTTCCCAGAGCTTATCTTCACTAAAGCTGGAAAGATCTTATACCGTGAGAAAGGTAAGTTTTCTAGTAAATGAATTATATTCTTGACACAGCCTCAGCCTTGAATCATAATAATTGTATTATAATTGATTTTTCCTGGTATTCAGTGATTCAAACAGCCGATGAGTTGTCAAAAATAATGGCATTCTTTTATTACGGAGCAGCCAAACCGCATAGCTTGAATACCATTGGAAAGAGTAAAAAGAGTGAAGAACCAATCCCTACCATTTCAATCAACAGCAAACAGTGTCAGAATAAAAGTTGTACATAACTATATATATATGTATGCTATGGTTTAGAGAATGAGAGTCTCTGGGTTAGCGATGCTGTGTTTACCATGTTGTTCCCCATACAGATCAATGGATACCATGAAAATTTAACTCATATGTACATTCTAGGGGAGATATTTATAACTACATTTAGCAATTGTTTGTTAATTTCAGTGTGAAAACTGAAAATTTTGTTGTTTATGTGCAAGATGAATATAGAGTTTCTGCTTTTGTTTTTTTTTTCTTTTTTCAAATAGTTTGTCCTATTATTTAATCCTTGATTTTGGTACCAATATAAATACTAGCTCGTTGCATTCTTTACATAACCAATTGGTGTATGTAGAGGGCTAACATGAAAGGAAATTTCTCAGGGCCTATGTGTATTCCTTGATTTTAGACATTTTCAATATGCTGTGCAGAGTTTCTAGTACCCTTTGAGAGACTTGTGAGTTCATGTCAATTTAGACATTTATAGCTTTGAAAATCCAGGAGGGGGTTCGTATTTTAGCTAGATAGTGTTAATATCATCGTTCTTCATTATAACAGCCTTACCAACTTGGCATTGGTACATTGGCGGTCGCCCCCCTAATGAACACTCCATCAAGTGTGACCTGTGCAAATGTGTTCCACGTGGAGTTCCAGACACTGAATTAATTTGTAGAGTTTATGCAAGCTATAATCCACACAAAACTCATGACAAAAGTAAAAGACTTTAAAATTAACATTCTCACAAATAATTATAAGCAAAAATTGAACTTCAAATCATCGCAAATTATAAAAAGCACAAAAAGAGGTCATATAGCAAGCTAGAGCCCTCAGTATCTACCACCACTAACATTATTACACACAGACAAATAAGGTATGTATTTAGCCTTTATTCAAGGTCGGATAACAAAACAATTGACTCAATCCACCTCCTATTAGATAACCTCAAACCCATAAACAGCCCAAAACCTTCTCACCAACAATGCATCCGATGCCATAGAAACTTCAATACTAGCCGCAGCCATCATGACCCAAGAGCATGGCAGCACCTGCTATTACAAAAGCAATAATATTACCTCCAATAACACACAAAAACCAAAGAAAACAAAAACCTATAAAGATGAAACGTACAATCTCTGAATCATCAATGACTCAATGAGCTCTCAAGTTCCACCGAACGGTACCTGTAAGACTATCATAGGTAACCACAAATCCATACCGTCAGCATAGAAAGTAAACTTTCGACATTTATGCTTCTAAGTCCATTTTGAAGCAAAACCAATCCGAATAGACCATCTTAGATAGCTCAGGTTAAAAATAAATAGATGATTTATGTTCTTCAAACATAATCAAGTTCAAAAAAATTATTTGCCTTCTTCAAATAATTTGTTACATTAATTTGTCCTGCTTGTATATGAACTAGCTGAAGGTTAGATATGATGACCACCATTTTGTAACGATTGTTCGCAAACTATGTATGTATGCATCATTGATGAAACATAGGTGAAAGAAATAAGAGTGATATTAAGAGAGTAAGAGAAACTCTTGTATATTGAATATCTGAAGTTGTAAGAAGGGACTCCATTTATAGGAGTTGTGTGATACAACATTATGATGAAAGTGGAGCATAAAATAAAATAAAGTAGCCGAAAGCAGCCGAAAGTAAGGCACTGCTCTGGCATCCTATAACTATGTATGATTAATATATGCATTACATTAGTATAATATATACATGCTAATATAATATAATATTATGATACATACATATTAATATAATACATTAACAGCCCCCCTCAAACTCAAGGAGGACAAACATCAACCAACTGGAGTTTGGAGACAAGTTCAACGAAGCGGCCAGGAGAATGAGCTTTGGTGAAGATATCAGCAGGTTGATCAACAGAAGAAATCGGATGGAGATGGACTGTACCACGAGCGACGTGTTGACGAATAAAATGGCAGTCAATCTCAATGTGCTTGGTGCGATCATGAAAAACATCATTGTGAGCAATTTGAAGAGCACTGTGATTGTCACAAAAGAGGTCAGTAGCACCAGAGGGGGTAACACCCATGTCAGCGAGGAGCCAACGAAGCCAAAGAAGTTCTTGAGTAGCATCAGCAAGAGCACGGTATTCGGCCTCAGTACTGGAACGAGCAGTAAGAGATTGTTTCTTGCTGCGCCAAGAAATAAGAGAATCACCCAGAAAAAAGCAGAACCCAGTAGTGTAAGAAGATCAGAGGTATACTTAGCCTGAGAGAGAAAAGAACCCGTAGAATCATGGAAGATTTCAAGACCCAAGAAATAGCTGAGAGGACCAAGATCTTTCATCTCGAAATGATGGCTAAGAAACTGTTTAAGGCGAAGAATACCATCGATATCATCACCGGTGATAATCATGTCATCTACATAAAGTAAAAGCAGGGTGGTCCCTTGAGCTGTTTTTCGGATAAAAAGAGCAGTATCATAAGAGCTGGAGGTGAAACCACATTTCTGAATAGTGGAGCTGAACTTGGCAAACCAAGCACGGGGAGCTTGTTTGAGACCATATAAAGCACGCCGAAGTTTGCAGACTTGATGCGGGAGATAAGCAGACCCAGGGGGAGGTTGCATGTAGACCTCCTCGAGAAGAACACCATTAAGAAAAGCATTTTTCACGTCCAGTTGATAAAGATCCCATTAGCGAGCGGTAGCAACAGCAATTAAGCTACGAACAGAGGGGAGACGAGCAACAGGAGCAAAGGTCTCCTCATAATCAATACCATATTCTTGATTGAAGCCTTTTGTAACAAGGCGGGCTTTGTAACGCTCAATAGATCCATCAGAACAAGTCTTGATTTTGTATACCCATTTGCAGCCAATGGCAGTCTTGCCAGGAGGAAGATCAACAATGTCCCAAGTATGAGTTTTGTCTAAAGCCTGCAATTCATCAGTCATGGCTTGCTGCCAAAGAGGATTAGAGCGAGCCTCACGATAGGAGGTCGGTTCATAAGTAGAAAAAGCAGTAGAACCAACAATAAAGTCACGAAGACGAGTAGAAGGTTGGGTTACCCAATGTGGTCGAGCAGAGGGAGGAGGAGCCAGAGGAAGAGACTCAGCAGGAGAGGAGGATCCCGATGGAGCAAGAGCAGGACCATCAGAGGGAGCAGGTGCAGGGGACAAACCGGTAGGCAAGGCGATCTCGAGAGAGGATGGCATGGGCGGTGGAGCAAACGGATCAGAAAACTCGAGAGAGGGTGGCAAGGGTGGTGGAGAAAGGTCATCAGAAAAAAGATCTGTGGAAGGGTCAGTAAAAAAAAGAGAGGGTGAGGGAACGGACAAACGGAAGGGAGAGAAGTAAAAATAGTAGGGTCAAAGGTCATGTGATTACAACAAGCGGAGTCAAAGTACCAGGAAGTGTTACCTGCGGTGACAGACAAAGCAGGAGATGGAGGAGTACCGAAATTCTGCCAATTGTGAAACATGGCGTCGACATCTGTGTGAGAGAAGACTGGAGTGGAAGGATCTATAGGGACAGAGGCAGGTAAATCCTCGGAGGCAGTAGCAGCAGTGCGTGGAGCAGGCATTGGTTTAGACGGAGGCCCAGAACGGTGAGAGTTGTTGCGGGAAAAATGCCCGGGGGAGGGACCATTGCAAGAGGCACGGGCAGGGTTGCGGAAGCAATCATGCTGGAGATGACCAGGACCAGTCTTGTTGCAAAACCGACAAAGACGAACTGGACAATTAACCAGAAGATGAGTCGATGGAAGACTGCAGTTTTGACAGTAGTTGCAGATAGGTGTCTTCTGTGGGGAAGATGGTGAAGGAGAACTTCGAATCTGGGGAGTAGCAAGAACAGAGTCCACAGGGTGTGGATGGAGAGTACCAAACCTGGTTTCCTCTGACAGTAGTTCAGAAATTGCTTGCTCAAGAGTGGGTAAAGGAGTGCGATGAAGGAGAGATGCGCGGGCTGGCTCAAAACGGGGAGCGAGAGCCATGAGAAACTGAACCAAGCGTTGTTGGTCACGGTAAGTAGTGAACAAGGCAGCATCCTTAGTACAATCCCAGGGGGGTTCAGAGAGAGCGAGCTGATCCCAAACATAATACATTTGTGAGAGGAAATCATTAATGGTTTGAGTTGTGTCTTGGCGCACACGGTGAAGTTGACTCAGAAGCTGATATTGGTGAGCAAGGCCAGTAGTCTGGTAGCGTTCTTGTAAAAAATCCCAGATGGCTTTGGCTGGAGAGGAAGCAGAGTAAAGTTGGAACCGACCAAACTGAAGGCTGATAGAAGTAATAGAAGTATTACGGAGCCAAGTGATGATCTGATAGTTTTTGCTATCCCAATCCTCCAGACGGTCAGCATATTTGGCAACGGAGTCCGTGGTGGCAGCGGATTTTGTGGTGGCTGGGATGGGTTTGCACACATCCCCAGTGATGATGCGCCAAAGTTTCTTGCCTTTGAGGAACCCAGACATAGCTTGTGCCCATAAGACATAGTTAGTTCCGTCAAGAACAACGGAAATAGGGTGGTTGGAGGAGTCCAAGCGATCCATGAGGAAAAAGCAGTATTATCGAAGTCGAATCTGAAAAATCTGAGGTTACCAGTGAATTCAGAGGGCCGAAATTAGTGGGAAATGAGTGAACGGACCAAAAAAAGATGACCAGAAGGCACTAAATTGGCTGGTCAAAGTTGGTCAACAATTCTGGTCAAAGATGACGTCACAATCTGGTCAAGATGACGTCACTGCTGTGTCACAGGCGCGGCGCACGTTAGCACAGACAGGCGCGGCGCACGATAGCAGAGGAAGCAAGCGGCGCACGGAAGCAGCCAGGGCTGACGTCAGCTGATGTCAAAAACACGCGGCTCACGTTAGCAGATGAGGCCGTGGCGCACGATAGCACAGGGCAAGTGTGAGGCGCGTAGAGCGCGTCTGAGAGGCGAGGAGGCGCGTGGATGAATGTTCTGGCGACGCGTGGCGGCGCGTGGAATGTCGGATGATGATGAATCTGGTGGCGTTGGATTCGTCGTGAGGAGACGAAGGTTTTGGTGTGGTCCAATCTGTAATTCAGATAAGGACGAAATATGCAACAATCTGCTCAAGATAAAAATGCGATGCAGAAGAGACTAGGCAATACACCTGTGCTCTGATACCATGAAAGAAATAAGAGTGATATTAAGAGAGTAAGAGAAACTCTTGTATATTGAATATCTGAAGTTGTAAGAAGGGACTCCATTTATAGGAGTTGTGTGATACAACATTATGATGAAAGTGGAGCATAAAATAAAATAAAGTAGCCGAAAGCAGCCGAAAGTGAGGCACTGCTCTGGCATCCTATAACTATGTATGATTAATATATGCATTACATTAGTATAATATATACATGCTAATATAATATAATATTATGATACATACATATTAATATAATACATTAACAATAGGTAAGACGATTAGAGCTATAAAAAAGCTAAAGAAGCAGTTGACGATATTGATAGAAAGGAGCTTGGAAGAAGAACATTTAGCTTAGATTTTGCTAATGTAAGACCAGGTTTAGAACTGAATAAACCAACCATTAGGTAAGTTCTTTCAATTCAAGTAGTTCGGATACATTGAATGTGGAGATTTTCTTTGGGCAAGCTTTCTTTTAAAAAACACAAAAAACAATTAAAAGAAAATACGAAACTATTTTTAACTAATAATTGTGATTGACAATGGAAATCGATGTTCAAATTATGAATCATGTGAAACATGTCAAGCCTAATCAATTTTATGACAAATGTTTGTCATGAGAGGTACTATTCATCACACAAGTCTTGGTGCATTATTACACCCAATGTCTTAGGATAGTTTTATTTCGCTATAAAATATCACGGTCAATACTATTCGACATATATATCAAGCCTTATTGTTTTCATACACACTGAATGCCTTTGTTTCCTTTCTCTTTCTACATACATATAAGTATATGTATACCTATGCATATATTATGGTTGAGCAATTGATCAAAATTAAGTTTTGGGATTATTATTTTGTTATATTCAATCCTTGGCTTATTTTATTCTTGAATAAAGATAAAAGATAGTTTTAGTCCCTAAAGTATGCATTATTTTTCATTTTAGTCCCTTAAGTTTTAATTTTGTCATCATGGTCCTTAAAGTTATCAATTTGAGTCAATTTGGTCCTAAGTCTATCATCCGTCTACATTGATAACAAGAATATGAATAAAAGATAGTTTTGGTCCCTAAAATATTCGTTTATTGTCATTTTAGTCCCTCAAGTTTTAAATTTTGTCATTTTGATCCTCAAAGTTGTCAATTTGAGTCAATTTAGTCATAACTTAAATTAACAACTTTGATGATCAAAATGACAAAATTTAAAATTTAAGGAACTAAAATGACAGCAAATGCATACTTTAAGGACCAAAGTTATCTTTTACCCAAAGATAAAATATTTTTCCCGTTATCAGTGTAAATAGACGTTAAAGATAGGACTAAATTTACATAAATTGACAACTTTGAGGACCAAAATAACAAAATTGAAGGTTGAGGGATTAAAATAACAAAAAAGGCATACTTTAAGGATTAAAGCTATGTTTTATTCCTTGAATAATGATATACAAACATAATTTGTATACAAAAAATCTATATGTAATGGTATGTTACATTTATATTCACTCATTAAAAATCAAAATTTTCATTATTATAATTCATAATTATAAGAGTATTGTTGTCGCATAATTTATGTTTAATTCTATACGAAAATTATATATATGAATATTATTTTTCTTTATTCTTTTTTTTTATTTATAAATTTACTCTATAATTGGTTCTTTATCGATATTTTTGTTGTAGAAAATATTTTAATGATAACCAAACATTCAAAAATAAAAATAAAAATAAAAATTTCTTTTTGGACAAAATCACCTAGCATGAAAAATATTTTATAGCGGAACAAACGGAATCTTATTGTTGAAATCTCAATCAAATTGAGATTAATTTGTTTAACAACTTTTACGAATTGGAGAAAATATACAAATTCAAATTTAGATACTAAACCGTTGGCTTTTTTGACTTTCGAAAGTTAAAAATGTAATTCGAGCGTGCCAGTAAGGATTAATAAATCCTTATAGAGATTAGTAAATGCCAACCAATTAGTCAAATGATTGCGCTTCGAAATTCTTTTAACCTCAATGAAGAGGATTTTTACTAGTGGCTTGATTTTTAGGAGAAAATTAAGAAGACTAATTAAAGTAAAAGAAATAGGAAAAAACAGTGTCAGAAATCAAACTTTATTAAGTAAACAAGAGTTTATAATTGTACCTTCACATTTTCACAGCTTCGAAGGGGATTACAGCAACAGACTAATTTAGAATTACTCCTAAGAATTTGAAGTATAGTACAATAAAGTAAAGACTGGAACTTAAAGGACTGGAAAATATAAAATAAATAAGCTGGTTTTTGGATATGGTTCTGGATCCATGCATTATCAACACTCTCCTCTATTTATAGGCTTTGAAGATAATCGTTGAAGTGACTGATAACCGCCAAAATAGGTGATAACTGTCAAAGTGGTCTCCAGGATCACTGGGTATGGCTTTGAACAGTTTGCTTCCACTATACCACTCCACGATTGGGTTCGTTCTGGAATTTGAATTTAAATTGTAAGCAACCGTTTGGCCACGTCACCTTTGGTATGTTGACTGTTCTCATGCCTCGCAGATCCATCGCTATTGATACAACTTATCACGTGTCTGTTGATGGCTGGAGATCTTCATTGATTCCCCAAACTACCCCTTGTAAACTTCATGTCAAGCTGTGATTGGTTTATATAAAATATACCGCCAACATAATCAAATTAAGGTGAATGTTAATTTATTATTTGGTGATTTTTTTTTTTAATTATTTGATTATAAGTGGGTTACCCCTTGGCTATTTATTTAATATAGTAATACAGTGAGCAAAAAAGAATCACATACCTTAATAACAGAGACTTGTGGTATGTGCGCAATCTTATACCAATCCTCTCCCTTTCCCTTCTCACATCGCCTTGCCAGTTCATCGCAAAACTGAATGTTTAGGCGTTGGAGTTTGGTAAGGCTTTGAACGCTTGCCGGAAGTGATGCAATCTTAAAGCAGAACAAAATGAACAGTGATTGGAGAGATTCAAGGCCTCGTAGCCCTTCCTCTGGCAAAGACTCGAGCTTTCGACATCCTATGATCTTCAATGACTTCAATGTGACAAGGCTTGCAAGGTCTTCAGGCAACACTTCAAGCTCTGGAAAATCGCAAATGCTTAGTGACTCAAGAAGAGTAAGGTTCCTCAAAAACTCTTTTGGAAAACAATCCGTCTCTTTATCATCACGAATACTTAGGGAAATGAGACTATTAAGATTTGATATTGAATTTAGTGCCATGGTGCACTTGCCTTCCAACAACAATTCTTTCAGAGACGAAAGATGTGGGAAGCTCAATTTAGGACAATCACTAATTTCTATCTTACGAAGACGAGGGAACAACTCTCTTCCCTCCTCCCTTGACAAACCTTCCAATTTTGAACAATTGTAAACATAGAGTTCTTCCAAAGATGGGAATCCTCCACCGCCAGGATATTCGTTTTCAATATACCCCAATACTTCTTCCATTCCATGAATTCGAAGGCTTTGGAGCAAAGGTAGTTGTCCAAGCGGCGGAAGTTGTAAGCAGTTCTTGCACTCGTAAAGCTCGATATTAACTACATTTTGAAGATCTGAACCCCTCATCCAGAGCGGGAATCGAGTACCTTTGTACCCTCTTACGATCAACTCCTTTAGGTTTGGATGAGGTTGAAGGGCTTCAAGTACTAGTTCAGATTTAACATTTTCCTGTGCATCAGATTCAACATTTCCCTGTGCTTCAGATTCAACATGTCCCTGTGATTCGCGTTCAGCCAAACTATGTTCCCAATTTAGTTGCAACTGACTAAGATTTTGCTTTCCCACTAAATTGGCTTCTTTTGCATCCATCGGATTACTCACTCTCTCAAGGTGCTTGATACGAAGTTCTCCTCCAAGGTTTAAGCATTTCAATTCAGCTAAGAGACTACAATCAGTGCTCTTACCCACAACAAATGTATTTAATGTCTTCAGGTTAGTTAGCTGCCCAATTTTTCGGGGCATCTCAATTAACGGACAATCTAACAGATAAAGATGTCGGAGACTTCTCAGGTACATCATGTTCTGGGGCAATCTCTCAAGTTTCCGACAATAGTTTAGAATTAATGTTTGCAAATTCAAGAGACTACAAATTGAATCAGGAAGTTGATTGACAAGAGTATAGTAAAGGTTCAGATACCTCAGATGTTTTAAATTGCCAATTGAAGATGGCAACTCCTTCATTCCTCTGGCTGCTGCATCAAAAGCTCGCAGTGAACCAAACTTTCTGAAATCACATAAAAACTCTTCATCTTTTAATGGGGAAGGTTGTGGATATTGCAGTCGTAATGTCCGTAAGGATACAACTTTGTGAAATGTGTAATTAAAATTATCCCCACGCCCGAGAACCAATGTTACATGATGAACTTTTTCATTGGATATATTACTTGAACTGTTAAACTCAATCATTTCACATTCATCCTTCATAATTGATTGGGCAAGATCATGCACAAGATCATGCATCTTGAAACATATACCGCTTGAATAGTTCTTCGCCTCTTGGAAAAAAAATATCAAACATAATTCATTCCAAATCTGATCACCAATATCTTCCGGTTCCCATCCTTCTTTGCATGAAATATAGCCATTAGCCATCCAAAGATGAATTAGATCTCTCTTTCGAATTTCAGAACCCTTTGGGAAAATGGCACAATAAGCAAAACATTGTCTTGATTCCAATGGAAGATAAAAGTAACTTAATCTCAAGGCAGGCAAGATGGAATTTTTGTCCTGGGGTAAGTTCCAAATTTCACTTTCCTTAACATGAAGCCACTCTTTTTCCTCACTTTTGAAGCGCATTAGCCCTCTGAGGGACTTCGCAGCTAAAGGCACACCCCCGCACTTCTTCACTATCTCCTTCCCAATGGTGACAATGTTTGGGCGTTCTTCATTTCCAAGTCCAAATGCTCGTTGCCTGAACAACAACCAACAATCTTCTTTGGATAAAACTGACAAGCGATGAGGTGAAATAGTTCCCATGATTGATGCAACCTTATCAACACGAGTAGTGACAATAACGGAAGCACCTTTTGATCCACATGCTAGTGAATACTTGAACGCATCCCACTTGTCTGGATCTTCATACCACACATCATCTAATACAATCAGGTATCTTTTCCCATGCAGCATGTCGCGAAGCTTTCTCTGCAGTGAGTCTAGGTCAACTGCCTCACAAGCTTTTTCATTTGCAGATTCTATTGTTGCTTTGATCACCCTTTTCACATCAAAATCTTGAGAAACATAAACCCAAATTTTAGGATCGAAGTGGGGTTTGACCCTCTCATCATTGAAGGCCATTTGGGCGAGGGTAGTCTTTCCAAGCCCTCCTATACCAAGTATAGGATACACAGAAACATCCTCACTATCGCATACATCCTCGACCAGAAATTTGACAATCTTGTCTCTATCTTCATCTCTTCCATAGAGTTGTGGCTGAGTTATAAAGGAGCTGGTTTCACGGCTTACATCATATTCAACTCGTGTCACCACCACAACTCCCTCGGTCAATTGAAATTTACTGCGATTAGCAGCAATTGCATCTAACTTCTGTGTAATCTCTTTTATTCTGTTCCCTATTTTGTGACGAAACAGAACATTCTGAACAGGATAACAAGTTAACAAAGAAGTGCTTACCTTCTTGAGAGAACCATAACCTTGGCCTTTTAATTCACATCGGAGGGCTTCGGTTGCGCACTCATCCAAGATGTCATCTGCCTCGTAGGCTGCATCATTGAGCTCTTTCAACCAATTCTGTATAGCTTTGTCTTGCAGTTGCTTTTGCTCTGCATCTTCAAGGACAGCCTGGATGGTGAAGAGAGTGCTTGAAAGCTTTGTCATCTCCGGGTTTACTCCACAGAGCAATCCCACCTCATTTTGGATCAAGGAGTTGAGATTTTTAAGCACAAACGGAAGAAATGGAACAGCCATGGTCACTTGCTTTCTGGATTCAAGGTGTTAGGCTCAAAAATGAAACTGCAAATGCTTTGCCAAACTGAATGACCAATTTTTTTTTTTTAACGAAGGTTTAGCTTTGGAAAATTCGCATGCGTGCCTATAAAGAAGTGTACATATATGTTTATGTTTCCAACATTGCTTTGTTAATTGTAAGGACATGTGCATCCCACTGGTTTCATGGTAAGACTGTCCTACTCCTGCAGCAGTTCATTTTCGCTTGTCTAGCCAAGAAATAAACAATCTTTTATTTCTTTGAGGGGAATCTTGATATAAAAATCGTTGAATTTACACGCATATCAAAATTGAATTAACCAATAACATTTTCAATTCAAAATGGGTGCAATTTACTGCATTTGCTACCTAACTCCCGAGTAGAACCAGTGCTACTGTTAAGTTAATTATATTGGATTGTTTAGGCACAAGCAAGCGTCCAAAATTGCTTTGGTTCTTTGGACATGTGGTGTCTTTTACGGAGACAGTTGGACCTTACTTTTTCAACATGATCGACTCCTTTTTTTTAAAAAAAAATTAATTTATAAATAGTATTTTTATGCATAAAATTTATCCAAAATAAACTGACATTGATATTTTTGTAATTATAAATCATAATACCCGGTGTGTTTGTCTCAAGAAAAAGAAGTTTTTTTGCAATAGGGTGATTTCATAATGGTACAAAATATCTCTATTATGAAGAGAGGCCAGGTTTAGAACTGAATAAACCAACCATTAGATGAATTCTTTCAATTCAAGTAGTTCAGATACACTTGAATGTGAAAATTTTCTTTGGGCAAGCTTTCTTTAAAAAACACAAAAAACAATTCAAAGAAAATATGTAACTATTTTTAACCAATAATTGTGATTGACAGTGAAAATTGAAGTTCAAATTATGAATCATGCAAAACATGTCAAGCCTGATCAATTTTATGACAAATGTTTGTCATGAGATGTACTATTCATCACACAAGTCCTGGTGCATGATTACACCCAATGTCTTAGGATAGGTTTATTTTGCCATAAAATATCATGGTTAATACTATTTGACGTATATATCAAGTCTCATTTTTCATACATATTTTTGTTCTCTTTCTCTCTCTACATACATATATGTATATATATACCTATATATATATATATATATTATGGTTGAGCAATTGATCAAAATTAAGGTTCAAAGTTAAGGTTTGGGGTTATTATTTTTGTTATATTCAATCCTTGTCTTCTTTTATTCTTGAATAAGGATAAAAGACAATTTAGTCCCTAAAGTATGCGATGTTTTTTTTTTTAATCCCTTAAGTTTCAATTTTGTCATTTTGGTCCTCAAAATTGTCAATTTAGTCATAAGTCTAACGTCCGTCTACATTGATAACAGGAATATGAATAAAATATAGTTTTGGTCCCTAAAATATTCATTTATTGTCATTCTAGTCCCTCAAGTTTTAAATTTTGTCATTTTGATTCTCAAAGTTGTTAATTTAAGCTATAACCAAATTGACAACTTTGATAACTAAAATGACAAAATTTAAAACTTGAGAA